GCCTAAATCAAAAGCAAAAACAAATACATGTAATGATCTAAAATCAGTTGGCCAAATCAAGAAAAATTTCAACCATTAAGAAGAAACTCCCAACTACCAACAAACTAAACTTTTTTAATTAACCAATAAGGGTCGTGATGGAGTGGTAAGTACTCCTTCATTTCTAATCAGAGGTCTCGGTTTTGAGTTTCCTCGAGCCCGATGTCATCTTTGTTAGGGAGTGTTTTACTCCTAATGTGGGATTTTTCGTAGCAAATCCGGATTTAATCGGAATCTAATATGGATACTGAACGACAAATGTAAAACAAAAAAAAACTTTGTGATTAAATTTAGCACTCAAAATTCTGAGATTTTCCCATTAACAAGACAAAAATCAAATCCATCACCTACTATGACTAAACTTGAAGTACATGACATAGACTAAAAAACATGTAATGCAAATTAAATTCACCACATACTTATTATAAATTCTCACCATCAATTGCAACATTTCTCAAGCACTATCTCAAAGTATCCATTCAATCGAAATTAATTTCTCTACTTTTTGTAAGTTAGAACAAGCTTTTTCGAGTAGTTTAAAATGGCGAATTTAGGTCAAGTAATTGTTGGATTCTTGATTATTGGAATTGTTGCATGTGTGGATTCAGCTGAAGAACAAGTTGTTACATATGTATTTGGTGACTCATTGACTGAAGTTGGGAACAATAATTATTTGCAATCATTAGCCAAATCTAATTTCCCATTTTATGGAATTGATTATGAAGGTGGAAAAGCTACTGGTAGATTCACTAATGGAAGGACAATTGGTGATATTATATGTAATTTCTATGAACTTTCCTTCATGATCTTGAGTAAACTTATTCATTTTCTACTATTTTCAGGTTGCGATTATGTAGGTTGGGTTAAACTATGTTGCATGTTGCTTGATTTTTCAAAAATATTTTTGTGCTTATGTCAGATCCTCCAAAATACACTAGTTTTAGAGGATCTGCATGAGGTAGCATTTGAAAAATCCGAACAACATATATTAGCACGGATTGAATCAATTAAGTGATCATGATAGGTTGCGTCAAGTAGGGTTAAATTACGGGTCATAACCTAACTCACACACACCATGAGCCAACCTCGCCACCTCTTTTAATTTTTAATTTTTAAAATAAAAAAATGAAAATTAATAGATTAGTTCTTTACATTACATATTTACATAATTCACAATCTTCAGGTTCTATTTTACTCTCTCTTTTTTTGGTGGATTTGTACCCCGCAGATAATTTGATGAGTCATTTCGAGTTCAACATGTAATCATAACTCAATTACTAAAAAATTCTGAGAGACGTCTCTAACATAGTTCATTAAAAATTCATCAAACATTATCAACAAGTCAAATTTTGATGAATTTTCAACTAATATTCGTCGGGTACTAAAAAATGGGTTGCTTTTAACATATTTTTTTCCTCTTCAATTTTCAGCTGCAAAACTTGGGGTTCAATCACCACCTCCATATCTTTCTTTAGCACCAAATGATGATGCAATTTTGAAAGGAGTGAATTATGCATCTGGTGGAGCTGGAATTCTTAATGACACTGGACTTTATTTTGTAATAATTATTTCATTTTTAAAAAAAAAATCTAAATTTTTCTAATTAATTCATTTCAAATTGATTCTAAATTTGTTATATGTACAAAATTACAGATTCAAAGAATGACATTTGATGATCAAATAAAAAGCTTTGAGAAGACAAAAGAAGCAATCAAGGCTAAAATTGGACAAGAGGCTGCAGAAAAACATGTTAATCAAGCTGTCTACTTTATTGGAATGGGTATGTTTGTTCATTAATTACGTTGCTCAGACTCTCCTAAAATACTATCACGTGCATCCATGTCAGATTTCCCAAAAAGCACTATCTTTGAAAGATCTAACATGCACCCGGCGATACTTTTAAGGAGTCTGAGCAACATAATTAACACAAGTGAATAAGTGTTTTTTTCTCTACTGCTCTGATACCAAGTTTGGAATCTTTTCAGGTAGCAACGATTATGTCAATAACTTCTTGCAACCCTTCTTAGCTGCGGGGCAACAATACACACACGATGAGTTTGTAGAGCTTCTAACCTCAACCTTAGGCGAACAATTCACGGTAAGTTATAGCGAATTTAATACTATATTATCAGTAATGCAAGATTTTATATCGAAAATCAAAGATTAAATTTTCTTATACTTCAAACCAAACGACTACTTATTTTTTTTTATATATTTTCTTGAATTTTAGAGACTTCATCAACTTGGAGCAAGAAAGATGATTTTTCATGGACTTGGACCATTAGGTTGTATTCCATCACAAAGGGTGAAGTCCACAAGGAGAATATGTTTGAAACAAGTTAATTTATGGGTACAAGAATTCAACTCAAAAGTGGAAAAATTGGTTGCCACTCTGAATAAACATCTACCATATGCACAAATATCATTTGCAGATACTTATCCAATTGTTCTTGACTTAATTGAGAACCCCACTTCTTATGGTAAGCTCAAATCATACATTTTTTTATACACTAGTTTTTGCTTAAACAACTAATATTCTTACTTAAGTACAAAGGTTAATGGAAAAAGACTTCTTTCCATATAAAGCAAGGTGTAGGCAATTTTCTTTGTAACCGAGAGGGGAGGAAGGTATCAGAGAGGGGATAGGACATCCGACGGATACATCACTAGACATCCGAATACATAGGTGAGGGATATATCAGAGAAGGGGAGGGATGTATCCGAGAGGAGGATAAGGATGCATTAGCGAGGGGAGAGTATTGTATCGGAGAGGGGATTTTTGAATTTTTTTTAAAAAGTAACGAATTTTAGAGATTGTGATAACTAAAATGTGTATTTAGGTAATTTTCTTCCTCAAAACTTCTAATTAAAGATGAAAAATACTTATATCGGACATATTCATTATTGATCTTTCCTCTTTTCAATGTCCAATAACCAATTTTGGACACACTTTTTTTTTGGTTTTTTTTAGGTTTCAAGATATCAAATACATCATGTTGCAATGTAGACACAAGTGTTGGAGGATTATGTTTGCCAAATTCAAAAGTATGTAATAATAGAACAGAATATGTATTTTGGGATGCATTTCATCCAACAGATGCAGCAAATGCAGTGCTTGCAGATAAAATTTTCACCACATTGTTTCATCAATCCTCATCTAGCCCCGCACCAGCACCAGCACCAACACCAACTCCTCGAAAGTTTCTTGTGACATCGATAAATCTCAATTAAAAAAGCAAATATTGCTTCAAGAACAAATATAATTCTGTTTTTGTAATGCAAAAACAAGACCAAAAAATTACTTGATTTGTCAATCGAAAGATCCAAATTGTTATTTATTGAACACATTATCTATATATGGTTATGATTAACTTTTAGCATTATGGATATTCAATAAGTTTCTTAGTATGTGTTAATTAATATAATTTGGTTATTTAGTGATGATATATATGATTAATAAACTAACTGTCCCATAATTTACCTGGAAATCATAATCACTTATCTAACAACTAAATGATATATTTTTCTTTTAATTACTATTTTGATTTGCTTGAGCGAAGATACTCAATACACACTATCTCACTAGATTTCATTTTCATTTAGTTGAATCAAGAGTCTTTCGAAAGCAGTACATTCTATCTAACTATGTTTGATGCTGTATCAAAGAAACAAAAACAATCACTAAATTATTAACATTATGCTTATTTCAATCAGTTTCCCAAATTCATAAAAAAAATTATTTATTTCATTCTAATCTAATCTGTTTTAATGATACCAAATTACTATCTTCGTTCACTTTTAATTATTATGATTTCCTAAGAACATGTTTTTCCATAAGATTGATACTAAAACAATGCAATTTATAGTACTTTTCATACCATTTTTAAATATCTTATCTTTTGTTTAAAATATCAAATTAATGTAATCTAATTTAATTAGAAAAATTAATCAAATTAACTTTTAAAAAGAAAATATATAATATAATTTCGTGATAACATTCCAATAAACTATAACAAAAATACACAAATCAAAACAAAATTCATTAAAAAAAAAGAAGATAAAATCAAAAAATTATTTATTTGCTCTCAGACCAGGGCCAAAGTTTGTCCACATGAAAAAGTTTGATAAAGAAATTGACTGACCAAATTAAGGATTTTAAGCTGAAGAATTAAATAAATAAATCCCCACTCAATTTTAATTCTCTGTAAAATGCTTTCATCTTTTACACCAAAATAAATTGGATCAAAAAGATTCATAAAGCCTTTAAACAAAGATTAAAAAAATTGAGTAAACAATCTTCAACTAAAAATCCCAAAAGGTCTTATCCAAATCCTCATCAAACTTTTTTATTTCAGTGTGGTTAAAGCAAAATCAATCATCACTGAGCAAAATACAAAATAAAAAACTTGAATTTATCAACAAAAAAAAATGTTGAACTTACGAGAAAACGCATAAATTCATGAGCAAAAGATTCAAATTTGCGTGTCCATAAGTACGAAAAAATAAATTAATTTAGCATTTTTTTCGTATTTTCTCTGTTGTTATTAATCAAAACACAGAGAAAATCATAGTAAATGCTATTTTTAAAAAAATTACAAGCAAAATTGAAAAGAGAAAGTAGATCTAAAATGAAAAATTGAATTAATTTTAACAGTAGATCTTGTGTATTTATAGGATACATAGCTAGGGTTTTTTGATGGGTTTGGGCTTTGGCATTTGGGCTTTTATTTCAGCCCATTATGGTTTGGATTTATCTGAATCTCTTAAATTACGGTAGCTAAATCTTATCCACAACTATTATTTAATCCATAACAACAATTTTATATTAATAGTTAAAAATTTAAAAATATATATGTAAAAATTAATTACGGTTAAGCACGGAAGGTAAAAAAATAAACAAATTATAAAGTTGTAACAAGAGTTGCTCGGTAAGCACCTTTTACTTTCAACTTTAAGGTTTTGTTCCTTCGGAGACATTTGATAAAATTGGAACGATACAGAAAAGATTAGCATGGCCCTACGAAAGGATGACACGCATAAATAGAATTTGTAAAGTTGATGCAATATCGAGGAATTGAAATTTTGTGGTGTAAATATCGGATTGATAAATTTTTACATTAGATTATTGACATGTTAGCTAAGAAAAAGAAAAGATAAACTAAGTAATTCTCAATTTCATAATCGATAAGAATAGTTTAGTTTAGCTCAATATTATACCTATTAACCATTGAAAACGAACAACAACATTATCCATTTAAATTTACAAGTGAAGTCTGAAGACGGTAATGTTTATATGATCTTGTTCTTATGTGAAAATAGAGAGATTATTTCAACAACTCAAACAATAAAAAATATATATATATATATATATCAAGGGAAGAATATTAAACAGCAAAGAAAAAGGAAATCATAAAATTGGAACTTAGTTCATAAACTAAATTAATTTACATTTCATTACTATGCATGTACTACATGATTTTTATGGAAAAAAAAGAGTTTATCTACATCATATGAAATTCAAGAAGCATAATATTTAAATTATTTCCACACTAATTCCAATTTCCACTTTTCTAAAAAAAAAATTCTCCCTTTTACTAACTATATGTTAGTATGGCTACGATCACCAACACCACTAGTTACGCAATTAGGCAATTGCCAATTCTAACACCACTATCATCGCAACCATCACTAGCATGGACACCACCAGGGCCATGCCATCACTAACTATAATAACATCTTTTGCACCATCTGAGCCATCATGCACAACTTCGCTTTCATCGCCGTTAGAGAGCCTACATTCAATCGATTCAACTAAATTAGTATCCTCAACACCAAACAAACATGTATATGTGTATATGTGATAGAAAATTACTAAAATTTCAATAAATTTTTTAAAAAGTTAAGTACTAAGATTTAAGAACCTTCGAGTTCGTTAACTTTAAATCTTGAATCTGTCTCTGATCTTCGGAAGATGAAGCAACAACATTAGGGGTTTCTCTCTATCATTAGTGCACTCCGATAATAAGATTAAAATGAGTACAATGAAAATGATGTCAGAGTCCATTTTTCTAGCCAATTTTTTTTTAATTGATTTTTTCTTGTTTTGTGAAGAATTGATCCTGTTTTTTTTTATTAGTATAAAGTTTCAAACAAGTTATTTTCCATTTTCTATAAATGTTTGGAGTAAATTACACCTTCTGCAAAATGCAAATACCCTTTTTGTTCAAGAGTTTGCAGAGCTATTTATTATGATAGGCATGTGATTCTTCTAGGTAACTTCTTTGTATTTTCATCAAGAAAATGACATTTGGTAAAAAAAAAAAATTAGTAATAAAATGGTCCTTTGCTTTAGTTTGTGTTATTGTGAACTTTAATTATATTTAATAAAATGGTCATTATGGCCACAATATTAAACCAATTTATTTTTTTAAAAAAAATAGTAATTTATTTTGCTTACAACGCATGGACCTTTTAAAATACCATCTAAGTTTTTTTATAAGTTATTGCAAACGAACGATAATTTAATGTTTCTTGTTGTAAGATATTAGACCTAAATATAACATTCTTCCAAACGCTAGTTTGCCAAAGACCATATTTGCACAACTAAATGGTAAGTTAAAAAAAAAGAACATTTGTGTTCCAAAATGTATTTAAGAAAATAAAATTTATATATTACTAAAAGAAATTAAAATTTAAGTTAATAGACGAGTTTCAAAATTATCTTTTAAAATACTTTTCTCTATACTCGTGAAATTATATTTGGTACTATGTTTTTATTGTTGTCAGACTTGTCACTAGCGGCCAAAATTTGTTAGGGCGTTTCTGTCAATTACCTTAATTGACCCTAGAGTATTTTGCAGTGAAGTCAAAAGTTTCTAAACAACACTCAATCCCAAATGTTGAATAAAATAGTAATAAAAACGATTTATGTTTAATTACATAATATGCATTTGTTTTTAGCTTCATCTATTGGTCACATAAAAGTAAAATACCAAAACTATAAGAAATGATAAAAATGGTCTCTTTTAAGTTTCATTAGAGAAGTTTTGGTTCTTTTAAAAGTTGATATCCTAATACGAAGGTAAAAAGGTTGCTTCATAGACCATCTATTCAAATAAATAATTAATAATACGATAATTGAAGCAAAGTAGATAACAAGTAATAATAATAAAATCGAACAATAAGATAGCAGAAGAACAATAGTAATAATATAAGATAGATATCATTCCCCAACACACACACAACACTATTAATTGTCTTTTTTGCTAGCTTAGCTACTAGTACTATTACTTATTTTAACATGGCTAGCACCACCGGTTGCATCAACTCCATCATCACCACCACCATCACCATTAGCACGGATACCATTGTTCGCGGAAACGGACTCCAACGTAACCGCCTTTTTGCAGATACCACATTTATTATTCTCAACATAGCTAGTTGATGATGATGAGTAAACACTAGTAGTAGTAGTAGTATTTACCTTACCATTTATGCCATCACGTATAACTATAGTAACATCTTTTGCACCACCACTTTTGGCGGCCCCACCGCCTACTCGAGCAGCAGTGGCAGCCTGCAAGTTGTTCTGGCTGCCACCGTAGACGTTGACATTGACAAAAGACGGTGAAGCGACAACGCGACACGTGCCTCGTGTGATTTCATCAGCTCCAATACCATTAGTGCAACATTCTACGATGAAAATAAATACACCAACAAAGGAAGAAATCAATAATATGATGCTTAACACGTACAATGTGTCCATATTTTCTAGCTAATTAATCAAGTTAGTTGTGAACTTTTTTTCCTAGAGAACTTATCAAGCCTTCTCTTTTTATACTTGTAATAATAATTAGTTGCACAAAACAGAATTCCATTATTTAATTTAGATACAAAACGCAATTACCATATTTGGTTACTTCGATTCTTGTAAGCAACTTGTGAGTAATTTCATTAACATTTTGATAAAAATAGCTTCATGCCATTAATGTTAGTTAAAATCCCTCAACTTACAAGTAGTTTTTTTGGGGGGGAATTTTATTTAGACACTTGAACTTGGTCTAGTTCAATTGGAACAAGCCTGAGTTCATGTGTCTAAATGAGATATCCGCGCAAGTTTTTGTACATGTATTTGGCCTTGTAACATCTTTTGAGCCATCATACATAACTTTACTACCACCTCAGAACCACCACTTTTAGGAGCTCGAGCAACGGAAACAGTCTGGTTTGTTCTGGCTGCTACAACCATAGACATTATAACATGGACAAACGACGTTGAAGCAACCACAACACACGGGTGCATGCCTCTTTATGTAATTTGGATGAAACTTGAAATTGAAAACAACAGAATCTATATAGGCCATATAAGAAAATCACATAAGAATTGGTATTCCAATGATCATATAAGGAAAACCAATAGAACAAATATAAAGAATTTCTAAATTGGTTCAATTTTTCACCCTAAACTGCCAAAAGAAACAGGTTCTATCCTCCCATGGATTTGTACAAAATTATGTGGCTTCTGAAGATCAGTAACCTCACTTCCTTTTTCCGAAAAGGTAAATGGAATCCACGATAACTAATTAGTCTCGTTTCTTGGAAAAGAAAAATGTGCAATGGGCACCATCCATCGCGAGTAAATAATGATGAAGGAGATTACCATACTACAAAAGAACCAAACTCAATCCTAGAGTTCCCAGAATCATCATCAGTGTTGTTGAAAAGACGTTATAATACCAGACAGGATAGGCTGATGAGCTCGTGGAATCCATAGCTGGAGCTGTGCCATTTAGGAAAGTTCCATTTTTGCCAGTACTGCTGCACCACAAACATTCAACAAAATAGTTTAGTTGTGAAATTAAAGTGGAGTGATTTCGTTAGAAATAAACACTGATAAAGATTAGTTGATTAAAAGGTTTAAAAAGGCGCGTTGTTTTCATAACTAATACATTATGATAGGAAAGTTACCTTGAAAATAGACAAGTACCATGACCTGAAATATGCAAATATTAGAATAATTAGTCTCTTAAGTTTCATCCTGTTAAAAGGAAATGACATAATTTTGGTTAGATGGACAAAATGCTTACTAGGATTAGTTGTGGTGATTGTAGCCACCCCGGTGAAGTCACAAGTCCCGGGAGCCTTCCCCATCATGTGATAGTAAGCATCAAAAGCATAGGTAGCATGTGCAGCCACGTTATCTGGGTCATAACACGGTCCTCCCTGCATCAATGGTGCACAATTTACCTTACCAGTTCCGCAAGCCCAATCCAAACCAGCCTGTAGCATTTTAGTATCCGCCCCTTCTTTTGCAACGCAGTAAGTCTGGTTAGAAGTATTGTTTGCAAAAAGAGATCCTGATTCAGTCAACCGTAGAATATAAACTGGCGTGCCGTTGTTGCTAAATAGTCCCCAATTCTTCTCTGACAAAGGCCCTGCCTTAACATCTTCATTGTATAGCTCATAGATGTAAGTACTAACAGCAATACCCGGATGCTTAGGAGTTCCGGTTTTGTTTAGCACATGCTTTATCAGATTGCTGTTGTAAGTGTTGGCATTGTCTACAGTAGCATCAGGTTCGTTCGATTCACCCATTGATGGCCAGCCTGATTCAGTCACCATAACAGGAATATTGGTGAAATTGACGTCAAGCATCGCAAAGTAAGCGGCATCAATCATTGCATCAAAGACGTTAGTATAATGCAAAAGTGTGTTGGAGTCCACAGCTTCTTTATTTGCAGCTAGAGGCTTGAAGAGAGCATAATCTAGCGGAATAACACCGTTCGATTGCATGTAGTCGTAATAAGGATAGACATTTAGCATGAAATAAGAATTAGTGGACTGAAGGAATTTGAGCAGTGGTATTAATACTGGTTTCACAGTGTGATTGAAGAAGGCTTGAGACGGAGGGAACGAGTCAAGGATGATGGTAGAAGCTAGAGGTGTTGAAACTTTTATTTGCCTGTCCAGGTTTGACGCCAAAAGGGCTGAATGAATGAATTTAAGGGCGTTGACGAGGATCGGTGCAGCATTTGGAAGGGCTGATAGAACCTCAGAACCA